CAAAGGGCAGAGGCCAAAGGAGAACTTGGGTTCTAGTCCAATCCCAGACCCCAGGCCAAAATTAAAGAGACTCCTCTGAAGAGCTATAACCTGCAGGATAGATTTGGGAAAGGGATAAGGGGCTGAGCCCCTGTCTGGGAATTTGTACCCCAGGCCCTTCACACAGTAAGGTATGAATGGCTCGGGAACCTGGCAGGCAGTGGGTAAGGTTGGGCAGTGAGGGGGAAGAGTCAGCCCCTGGCCATTGTTCAAAGAAATCTTTCCCTCTGTAGCCAGGGTGAGGCTGCTCCAGAGTCAACTTGCTCACCTCTCAGCAAGGTACATGATAGAACTACACAATACATTACCACTAATACAAAGTGTCTTTGCAAAAATCTGTAATAATCACACATAATCTTTAATAATGATTAATGATTATCATAGGCTGGGTGTATACCCAAAACAATTAAGAGCAGGGACTTGGACAGAAATTTGTACACCCATGTTGACAGCAGCATTATCACAATAGCCAAAAGTTGGAAACAACGTAAGCGTCCACTGATGGATGAACAGATAAACAAAATGTGATACATACATACATACATTTCAGTAGGGAAAAAAAAGATTAATGTAGGAAGGGCAGTGCAGTCATTACGACTGTCAACCAAGAGCTGTCAATGACATGAAAAACCATGTTGACACTATGTTAGATCAAAAAAGCAAGACATAGATTACATGTGGTAGATCTGTTATGTAAAGACAAAAATGTCCATATCTGCGCATATGTATGTGGGCAGGAAAAAGACTGGAAGGAGATACACAAATGTCAACAGTGGCTGTGTTCCTAAGGATGGGCTTCTTTTCATCTTCACCATTTTTCACATTTTCCAAATTTTACATAATGAGCATGTATTACTCTGATAATAGGGTGGAGAGAGTATAAATATAAAATCAAACCACAAAAAATGCAAAGAAAAATGAATATTTATTCAAACTCCAGACTGGGGAGGGAGTCTTCATGTTTAATAGGAAAAGGCAGGAAAAAAATCACACAGGAAAAGATCAATTTTTTGATTACTTTAAAAAGTGAAACCCATAACTAAAATTTAAAGGCAAATTCACACAACCGAAAACAAATGCCCAATAAGCATAGAGAACAATGACCAAGGTCACCAAGAATGACCAAGAATTAGAAATTAAAACAGAATACCACTTTCACCTATTATTGTAGGGTTTTTTTTTTTTTTGGTTTTATGGTTTTTATTTGTATACTTGTTTATTTTTTAGCTTTAGTACTCTAAGGTAGCAAGGGAATGGGAAGAGGAGCAAAATCGAGATATTTTGACAACTTGGCACATTTCATTCACAAAGTTGATCATCACAGCATTATTTACAATACTGAAAATTTGGAAATAACCTAAATTTTAAACAATTGAAAGGTTAAGTAAATTTTGGCAGAACTACACAATAAAATATATTACTACAAATATAAAGTATCTGTACAAAAATCGGTAATAGCCACACATAATACTTAGTGAAAAAGGTAAGAACATTAATTGTATGATAAAGAACACAGTATAATCACAACAATGTAAAAAATTCACACCCCCAAAAAGACAAGATATTAAGTGACTATCTCAGGATAAAATATTCATGTATTTGTTCTACATTTGTGTTTTCCAATTTTTCTATAATTAACACATCGATTTTATAATCATAAAAAATACCTTTTTTAAGTAAAATGAACACAAGATTCTTTAGCAATGTTCATTTCATCCCATGAAAGAGTCTAGAGAGTCACAAAAACCTCAGCCTCCTGGGAGGGGGGTAGGCATGAAAGCTGGGTTGTGAAGAATGGTCATGAATGGGTGGGTGAAGAGAGGAAGGGGGCAACCTAGGAGGGGGTGGGGAGGCAGGGATTGGCAAGGGAGAGTCAGGGACCAGTAGGCAAACTGGTCAGCCGAGGAAAGGGGTGTTGTGGAGTCAGGGAAGACTCTGACTGCTCAGTAGAGGTCTATCTAGACCCAGTAGTAGGCACTGATGGTGTTCTCAAAGGGCAGGATCAAAGAGGGACTTTAGGAAGACAGTGGATTCCTTTAGGGGCAAGGGAGGAAAGAGGAGGGGTGGGTAAACCACTTGGGAAGGAAGGGAGAAGGACTGAGGCGATGATGATGGGAGTGGAGAGGAAGGGGCTGACTGCTGTAGTGAACTCCCTACCAAACATACTTCGCTCACCTCTGGACAAGTCTCTGTGGGCAAATGCAGGGTAGAGAAGCAGCTCGGTGAATGAACTTGACAACAGCCAGCAGATTCAGGTAAAATCCAGAGATAATCTAGGGCAGCTCTGTCCAGTCAAGCTTTGTGCCATGAAGGAAATGTTCTAGACTATGGCTACTGAGCACTTGAAACATGGTGAGTGTGACTGAGAATCTTCTTCTTACATTTTTATTTCATTTTAATAAATGTAAATAGACACATGTGCCTAGTGCTACTGAGTAGACAGCACAGACGTAGGGCAGTGGTTCTCAAAGTATGGTCTTTGAACCAGAAGCATCACCCTGGAGCTTGTAAGTAATACCAGTCTCAGGCCCCGCTCCAGACCCACTGAATCTGGATCTCTGCAGGCAGGCACAACCCGCTGGGTTTTAATGAGCCCTGCGGGTTGTTCTGACACTACCTCGTGCCTGTGTGCCACTGAACTAGGGCCATTCAAAATGTCTGGGGTCACTACTTCTGCCTTCGACTAAACCATATAAAAGAATCCCTACTGAAGTGAAGTGGGGACTTACACAGATAAAGTGACTAGAGAACCATTGATAAGGTATTTCCAGCTGAGTAGGATTGGGGAAAGGTTATATGAAGCAATGAAGATGTGGTTTCTCTAAGCCAAGTCAAGGTAAGGAATTTGGTTAACTTTGAAATCTGAAAACCAGAAAGCAGCTGCTCATCCCAATACGTGTTGGAGATGTGCAAAAGGAAACAAAAAGTGGCTCTAAATTGGGTTCAGTGTCAAAAACACAAAAAACAACCATAATTTATATGATGATTTAGAAGAACCTGCCAGTGAACATGAAATAAAGCCTTTATTTCTTAAAGGAGAGATTTGTAAAAGAAGGCCAAGAAAATCTAAAACCCAAGGAGAGCTGAAGCGTTCTGGGGCTGTGCCCTCACGTAGAAAGGATAAGAGAGAAGCACTTCCAGTGGAGACAGAGCAACACAAAAAAGCAGCCCATGTGGACCCACACTTGGATGCAGCTTCAGTCACACAGATGAGTAAGAAAATGCAGCCAGAGGAAAGCACCACAGCTTTACTGCCAAAATGGCAGCTGCACATCATAGATGCCTGTCACTCTTCTGACACAGTTCAGCTCACAACTTTATCAAGAGCAGAATTTGGAGATTTTTTATACTAAAACTATGCTTCAAGAAACAAAGCAAGAAAAAAATGATGAAGCGCACATATTGTAGCTAACTAGGAACAACAGACAGGCATGAAATAAAATCCTGGGTTAAAACTTATAACTGTGGAATAGGGAATAAGGCCAAATACACTGAAATATGTCATGAGGAATTTACAGACTGTCCTGTAAAAATCACAGTGGATGTGATGGGGGCAATGAAGAGGATGAAGAATGAGAAAGAAAAAGCTGAGAGAAACCATCTACGAAAGCCAAGGTTCCCAGAAGAGAGACAGGCTTCAGGAGCAGGGATGATTAGGGCCCTTCACTCAAGTAGAAATTGCTGTTGCCAGAACAGTTAGTCACTTAACTGCTTAGATCATTGTGTTACCACATATACCTCTATCATAAACAAATCAGTAAAAAAAAAAAAAAAAAAACCTCTTTGAAATTTTATTGATTTTAGTATAATATCTTGTCATTTTTGGTTATAATTTAATATACTGCAGTAACTTAATCTAATTTGCTGTAGTTTGTTAAACATTTACCTTAAAACACTGAAGCATCTGTAAAAAGAAAATTACTAAAAAATATTCATTTCAGTACAAGAGTACATTAGATATTTATTAGAAAGCTGTTGATTCTTCTGATGACTACTGATAAATTGATCAGCTTCAACAGGCTATAAATATGAGTTGTAAATATTCCATCTCCTTTAAGATGATATATACTAAGATCATTACTACCGCATGCCTTTCCAAATACTTTCATATTTAGGAAATACAGAACTGCATTCTGGGGAATTGACAATTATCTAATATTATGCTAATGACAAGTTTTCATAATCCTCAAAATAATTTAGAATAAAATCAATGTTTTCTTTAATAAGCAATTAAAAGTAGACTGTTTTCTGCCTCCTGGATAAATAGATGCCTGCAACCAACCATTGCTAAAGAAGAACACTAATATGATTTTGAGCGACTCAATCCATGGATACATTTATACTTTTAAACATTTTTCATTGTGAATAAGTCTTTTAATACATGGCTATTGAGTTCAAGGGTCATATTACTTGCTAAAAAATTATTTAGATGAGAGAGTATCTGAAAAAATTTAACCCAATTTCTCATACATCTCATGCCTCTAGTTTACTGAACATTATTTATTATGTGATGTAAAAATTCCACAGTAATCACTTCATACATATTTTATCTTTGGATTTTGAAATTCTGTTGTCTTAGAAACAAAAATAGAAGATAGACTTTATAGCATTGGCTTCTAGGATTATTTTTTAACTCTAAATTTGAAAAAGAAATGTGGATTACATGTTGACATAATATTTTGAATATACTGGGCTACATAAGATATATAATTAAATTATAAACAAAATAATCGTGAACTTAGTTTGAAATTCAATTTGACATATGATTACTTTTCAAAATACACTAAATTCCACAAATAATTAAAGTATTTCTTGAGTATAATGTTATGGTTGTTTACTAAGGTCTTGATATCCAAAGATGTGAGAAAATTTTAGTTTGCTCAATTTATACTTATTCACTCAATAGATAAGCTATGACTTTTTGAAAAAGGGAGGAAAAAGGTTCAGCCCAGCCCCAGTCTAATTACCAATTATAAATTAATAGAGACTAAATGAAAAGGTTTGGCTATTACATACTTTTAGACCAAATTGTTAACACATATTTGGATTACCTACCCCTCAGGTTGCTTCCAATATTATGGGTAATCACAGAATAACCAGTTCTAACTCCTTCTCTCACCAACTGGAAGGGAGCACATTATATTTGCTCTTTGTTGTTGGCAAAACTCAAGGCATCAATGATCGGGAAAGTTCTCCACCTTGGGAATCATTATACACATTGTGATCCTGCAATGGGTCAGAATCCACAAAATACAGTTCCCCGGCATGGATGTCAGAAAAATTAGCCAGAAATTCATCAGGATTAAAGCCAACCCACACAGTATACCTATAGTCTATGGTGCGTATGGAATAGCCCATGATCTTTATGTCTTTTAAACTCGGCTTGTCAGAATTCCACTGAGGCGAGTCTGCTGGCCGGGGGTACTGGCTATAGGCAATTAACTCACGGGGATTACCACGGAGGTATGGATCCTCTTTCAAGTCATGGAATCGAAAATGCTTCAGAAGGCTCTGGCCTTCTCTGCACAGCGTAACATGAAATGAAGGAATGGGGCAGCGAGGTGGAACTTGGAGTCCTGCCAGTCCAGCCAGTGTGGGGAACAGAGACACAAGTTCCACGAGGTGCATGGATTGCCTGCCTGAAACAGGAAGTGACACAGAAGAATCAGTTGTTACTGCAGCTTGCCATGCCAGGCACGATGAGAAAAGGAACCTGTCTGGGCTCCACATGTTTTCTTCATTTACAATATTCAATTTTAGCAAAAGAAGTTTAGGGATACCACCACCTCAGCATCTCACCCTCTACCCAATCAAATAGCAAGATGAAAAATTAAGGTGCCCCAGCCTGGTGGCACTTTTAAAAACTACTTATATTTTGGAACCACCAGTGTAATAACTGATTCAGGCAAAGATCATCAATTAAGGCTAAAACCACCAGTAAAAGTCGGTTGAGGAACAGGATATTCTGAGTCTCACAGATCACCCCAAAGATTACTCCTGCCTGGATGTCCACATTTGATCCATCTTTCCTTTTTTTTTTTTTTCTTGAGACAGAGTCTCACTCTTTTGCCCGGGCTAGAGTGAGTACCGTGGCGTTAGCCTAGCTCACAGCAACCTCAAACTCCTGGGCTCAAGCAATCCTTCTGCCTCAGCCTCCCAAGTAGCTGGGACTACAGGCATGTGTCACCATGCCCGGCTAATTTTTTGTATATATTTTTAGTTGTCCGATTAATTTCTTTCTATTTTTAGTAGAGACGGGGTCTCGCTCTTGCTCAAGCTGATTTTGAACTCCTGAGCTCAAACGATCCGCTCAGCCTACCAGAGTGCTAGGATTACAGGCGTGAGCCACCGCGCCGGGCCCATCTTTCCTTTTTATTATGGTTAAGGACACATAACATAAAACTTACCATCTTAACCATTTTTTAGTGTACAGCTCAGTGGCATTAAGTATATGTACATTATTGTGCCACCATCACCATCATCCATCTCCAGGACGCTTTTCAATTTACACAGCTGAAACTCTGTACCCATTAAATAATAATTCCCCTTTTCCCCTTCCCACCAGCAACTGGCAAACACTGTTCTACTTTCTACTGCTATAAAATGGACTACTCTACGTAAGTAGAATCGTATAATATTTGTCTTTTTGTGATTGGCTTGTTTCACTTAGCATAATGTCCTCAAGATTCATCTATGCTGTAGCACATAACAGAATTCCCTTCCTTTTTAAGGCTGTACTATATTCCACTATATGGATAGACCACAGTGTGCTTATCCATTCACCTACTGATGGACACTTGGGTTGCTTCCACCTCTGGCTATCATAAATAGTGCTGCTATGAACGTTTATGTACAAGTTTTTATTTCAATATCTGTTTTCAATTCTGTGAGATATATACCTAGGAGTGGAATTGCTGGGTCATATGGTAATTCTCCATTTAACTTTTTGAGGAACCACCAAACCATTTTCTACAGAGGCTGCCCAACTTTACATTTTTGCAGCAATGCAGCAATGCACCAGTGTTCCAATTTCTCCATATCCTCACCAACACCTATTGTTTTGTTTTTTGTATTAATATCCATCCTAATGGGTATGAAGTGGCATCTCACTGTGGTTCATCCATCTTTGAAGTGTAAATCCTGTACTTTATATTCATTCCTGTTAAAGGATCTTGTACTGTCATTTTTGCCTTTTTGGATCTTTAAGAGATTGTTTTATAGTGCCCAATCTCATTTTCTAGACCGATGTGTAAAATAATAAAAAGAAGAAAAATTTAAAAAAGTTTTTTAAAAAGGTACTTTTACAATGGCAAGATCTGGCTGATGCTATCCTGTCAACCAAGCGAACAAACTTAGCGTTGCTAATAAAGGCCATGAAGTGCCCTCAATGTGATACAATGGAGGATACATCTCATGTAGTACACCTGCCAAAAATGTTTAAACTGAATGTAGTCATGAGGAAACAATCAGACAAATCCAAACTATAGGACATTACACAGTACAACTGGCCTGGATGCTTGTTAAAAAAAAAATGCTAAAATTCATATGAAACCATAAAAGAGCCTAAATAGCCAAAGCAATCCTAAGCAAAAAGAACAAAGCTCAAGGCATCACATCACCTGTCTTCGAATGGCTATGGTAACCCAAACAACATGGTATAATAACAGACATATACATCAGTGGAACAGAATAGAGAACCCAGAAATAAAACCATTTACCTATAACCAACTGATCTTCAACAAAACAGACAAAAACACTAGGGAAAAAATACCCTATTCAATAAATGGTGCTGGGAAAATCAGATAGCCACATGAAAAAGAATGAAACTGGATCCCTACCTCTCACCATACACAAAAATTAACTCGAGATGGATTAAAGACTTAAATGTAAGACTGGAAACCATAAAAATTATAGAAGGCAACCTAGGAAAAACTCTTTGGGATATTGGCCTAGGCAAAGAATTTATGACTAAGACCCCAAAAGCAAATGCAACAAAAACAAAAACAAATAAATGGGACTTAATTAAACTAAAAAACTTCTGAATAACAAAAGAAATAATCAACAGAGTAAACAGACAATCTACGGAATGGGAGAAAATATTTACAAACTATGCATCTGACAAAGGACTAATATCCAGAATCTATGAGGAACTCAACTCAGAAAAAAAAGAAATGAAATAACCCCATTATAAAGTGGGCAACTGACATGAACAGACATTTTTCAAAAGAGCCAAGAAGCATACAAAAGAATGTTCAACATCACTAATCATCAGAGAAATGCAAATTAAAACCACAATGAGATACCATCTTGTTCTAGTCAGAATGGCCACTATTAAAAAGTCAAAAAACAATAGATACTGGCATGGATGCAGTAAAAAGGGAACACTTACACACTTTTGGTGGCAATGTAAAATTAGTACAACCCCTGTGGAAAACAGTACAGAGATTCCTCAAAGAACTAAAAGTAGATGTACCATTCGATCCAGCATTCCCACTACTGGTTATCTACCCAAAGGAAAATAAATCAATATATAAAAAAAGACAGCTGCACTCATATGTTTATTGCAGCACAATTTACAATCACAAAGACTTGGAATTAACCTAAGTGTTCACCAACTGATGAGTGGATAAAAAATGTGATATATATTATATATGTATGCATACTATGGAATACTACTCAATAAAAAAGAATGAAATCATGTCTTTTGCAGCAATATGGATAGAACTGGAGGCCATTATCCTAAGTGAAATAACTCAGGAATGAAACATCAAATACTGCATGTTCTCACTTACAAGTGGGAGCTAAGCTATGGGTACACATGATCATACAGAGTGGAACAGTAGACAGTGAAGACTCCAAAGGTAGGAGGGTACAAGGGGGTGTGGGATAAAAAATTACCTATTGGGTACAATGGACACTATTTGAGTGAGGGGTATTCTAAAAGCCCCGATCTCCCTAAACAATATATCCATATAACAAAACTGAACTTGTACCCCCTAAATATATTGAAATAAAAAAAAAGATGAAGTCAGGGACATAATGTGGGCCAGATCATGTAAGGTCTTGCCAACCACTGTGAGGACTTTCACTCAGAGTGAGCTGGGAGCATAGGCTCCTGAGCAGGGCTGTAACATGACATGACTTGGGTTTTAACAGGAGCATTTTGGCTGCTCTAAGAAGGAAAAACTCCAGGGGACCCAGGGCATAAGCAAGAGACCATTTAGCAAGATGTTGCAGTAATTCAACATGAGATGGTGGCAATCTGATCCAAGGTGGTGGCAGTGGAAGTGGTGGGAAGTGGTAGGGACAGACTCTGAATGGAGTACAACAGGCTTGCTGATGGACTACTTATCACATATGGAGCATGAAAGAAAGACAGAGGTTAAGATAATTCTGTGATTTTCTGGCATGAGCAACTGTTGCTATTTCCTGAGGATGAGAAGAGTGTTGAAGGAAACACTGAAGGTGAAAGAGCAGAAGTTCAACTTTGGGCATGTTAGGCCAAATTGGACTGGCTGTGGGAAATACCAGCCTGAAGTTCAAGGAAAAGACACAGACTAGAGATAAAATTTCAAAATAAACTGGATGACAGTGCAGTTACATGAATTTATAACTTGCCGAATACCTCCCAAAAAAAGTTTCAAAAAAGATTCTCAACCTGTCAGATGATTTCTCCCAGCCAACAAAGGGCTAAAATCATGCCTTGAAACTGCTTAACCTTTGTTGCAATAACATTAAAGAAGAGAGAGTATGCAATGCACAAAAATCAATGTGCAGAAAACATAATTGGGTATATAAAGCCAACTCAGAAAGACCAGAATGATGGTCCAAAACCAAGATAAACTTAAACAAGAATCAATATAAAGTACAGGATTTGGATATTACCAATGGATTAAATGCTTAAGTCCAGAAAGGGGGCAACTTGGTTTCACAAAGTTCCTGGAAAAAGCACTCCCAAAAAGACAAATGTCATCTGAAGTATATGACTTGTCTTTGAATGCACTGGGCAGATCAAGTCAGGATACAACTCACAAGAACCCACACAGGTTGCCCATGTGGGCAGAAGGGGTAACGTGGTACAAGGGATATTCTGGAAATGACTTCTCAAACTGGAGCTCTTTAGAAGACAAAGACCAGGATATCCACAGGTCTGAACACTACCTTGTGGGAACCGCTGAAGGACTGATTTCAGCCTAGAGAAGAGAAGGTATTGGTGGAATGAGACGGGGGCATCACTGCTGTTTTCAAAGCTTTGAGGGACTGGCCCAGAGCAGTCAAAGTAAACTAGAATCACCTGGTAGATTTTACAGATCTAGTGGTTCATTAGAATGATGGGCTGCCAAAATGGAAAATGCCCCCAAAACGGCCGAGTCCCTGCCAAAAGGGTACATGCAGGTTAAGAATTCTACTCGTCTGTTAGGGGGACAGCCTTTTCTTCTAAGCTCTGAAGCAGGATGTTGTCACCTCTACAACAGCCCTCTCCATCCTGGGGATGCCACCCAGTCTTTTGTCCCTCCCCCTTCAAGGCTCCTTATGGACAGGGGCCATACTTGTCAGCTCTGGCTCTGCCACTCCTCCACCCAGGGCATGGGAGGTGCTCAGGAAATGTGTGCTGACAACACAATGTCGGGAAGGAATTCCAACACAGGGCAAGAAGGGGGCCTTTGTAAGCAAGCTCCCAGCCTATGATGCAATAAGGTGGGTCACATGTAAACTAAAGGTGCTCTTACTGTCAGGCAATATCACGTTAGCATATTTTATACCTGGCTTCATCAACTCTGAGACAGAATCAAAAGGGTCGTGATAAGGAAAAAGCTTCTCTCCTGCCTCCGGAAATGAAGTCGTCCTTCCAGGAACATAGAACAGCAGGGGCACACGGGTAGTGACATCAAAATTGCTGTACTTGGCCCATTCTCCATGTTCACCTAGAGCCCACCCTGATTGATAAAGAACACAGAATGACAGACAATCAATAATCATATCACAGCTTATTTATTTTAGAAACCATTTCATTTCCTGTTGTAAAAACCAGAAGAAGAGAAAAATCACCTAGAAGAAATAAATTCTTCTAGAATTACAACAAAAAGGGTGATTTCACCTGAATGCTGTTGTATTTAAAGTCAGATATTTGTCCTCAATGAGGAAACCTTTTAAAAGGAAAAATAATATTAAATTCCCAAACTCAAATATCTTCTTTTAATAAGCAGGTAGCAATATATACCTACACTGGGCTCTGTGGGACCACAGGTTCCCACACACACACGCCTCCCCTACTAAGACAGGTTCATTCTTGACTGGGCAGGGACCCTGAAACCCATAGTGTCACCATTGTCCTGTTCTGTGCCTACCTAGCGCTTTACACATGTCCCACAAGGTCAGGTTATCAGTTTTGGTTGTGTGCCACCTGAGTTGTGGAACTGTGGCATAATCATTCAAATTCAAAAAAGATAAGGATATCTTGCTCAATTTTTAAGACATACCATACATGGAGTAAAACAAAACTTCAGATTCCAGATCCTAAACCCTGATTAAAACCAACCATTAACACTGATTTAAAACTTCCCTTGAAAATGATAGTTTCAATACTCCAAGTTGAAAGTTCTCAATCTTTTTAAGTTTCAGCAGCCTTCTTGGTACAAAAAACGTATATGACAGAAATTGTACATTGAGTATTTAGTGTTATAAAAATAACCAAACACACCAAAAGCTGCCATGGTTGGATTGGAGAAGGCATGGAAATGCACCTGCATTTGATTCATCACAGACACATCTGCTGGCATCTGAAAAAGGAACATGCAGAGTACAGTGCAAAACCTCACTGGCTCAATCTACAGATGATACTGGGGTTGCCAGTGGAGTCTCAGCCTGCCCAGCCTACAAGAGCAGGGCCAAGACCTGTTCTGAATCAACGGTGCTCTCCTAAGAAGACCCCAAGTGGAGAGGAATCTCTCTCCAATCAGTAATCAAAGCAGACTTCACGTCCATCACAGATGCTCAACATATCTGGCTATCAGTGCTGGAGAGTTAGTGGCACCTACAGAGAGCTGGGTGGAGCTCAGCGGGAGAAGCAGTTTCCACAGCTGACCAGTTCCATGGGCTGAGGGGCAGCCCCACCCGCCACATCTCCACTCTATCCAGGAGGACGAGGCATCCTTGACCCATGAGGACTGGTGAACAGGTGGGTTATTTACGGGCTCCTAGGGCACTAGCTTCAGAGGCATGTTGTCCCAGTCTGGATGGAATCTAAAAGGTTGAGGGTCAAGAAGTCAGCGGGACAGGAACGTGAGGGACCCTGGCAGTGGGATCTCAGGAGTCAACCCCCAGAAGGCTGACGGAGGTGAAGGCGGAGGCCCTGAAGGTACATGAGCCAGGCTCTCAGTAGTACTGCTGACTACAGGGACTCAGCCTATAGGCCTCCGCTGGTCATGGTGGGCCACTGAGCTCCAGGCAGAGGTGGCCCTGGACCCAGCACAGGGCCTGGCACCTGGAAAATGCTCAGTAAATAGCTGTGGGTTGCACAACTGTACGAATACATTTATCAATCTTGTGCTGAGCCTTGGTCTGTGCCGCTGTAGCCAGGAGCAAAGACCTGAAAAAGTCTTGCTGAGGACAGCATGTCCCAGAGCCAGCCCCAAGGATCCCGTGAGAGATCAGGGGGAACAAGAGGCCAATGACCTTGACAGGCAGCTAAGGTTTCTGGCTCCTGCCCCAGAGGCCTAGGATGAGGACATGGCAGCACAGGGGGCACCCAGGGAACCTGAGCTCAAGGAGAGGTAGGTGGTCAGAAGCACCTGAGACGCCAGTTACAGTGCACATTCCTGTACCCAGACCTGAGGGCTCATGAGAGAAGATGCAGAAACCAACATGTTTTATCAGCTCCCAGGTGGTTCTGATACAGAATGTCCAAGGAGGACACTTTGAGCGGAGCTACTTGTAATCAATTGCAGCCACCTCAGAGCAAAGAGTGTGTCCAAGTAGAAGAGGAAACCAGACATTGAAAAAAGGGGTCAGAGATGGATGGCAGATCATTAGGAATAATGCAAAAAAATGACAGCATCTCTATGCATAATGAAATACTACAGACAGACTTTTACAAGAGAAAAGATAGGCCCTATAAGAAATGACAAGAAGAATTGTCTATGACATTCAGTGGGGAAAAAACTAAGGAACATAACAGTATACATCATGTCTTGTGATAAGCTATATGGTACATGCACACACATGTATAACATACATCCCATGTGCTTATGTGCACAGCCAAAGGCTGCCAGGCAGAGCCCCAATCTGTCGGCACAAGTCAGCCCTGGGCAGGGGCATAAGAGAGCAGGACATTCTGGCCCTGCACTGTACACTCTGCATCCTTTTTTCTTTTTATGATGAGCATGTCTTATGACTTACTATTGTCCTATTTCGTATTTGATGAGATAAAAGAATTAATTTTCCTTTTTCTAGGTATGATAATGGTATTATGGTTATACTTCAAAGGAGGCAATACGTTTTTAGAGATAGTGATCAGAAAACAAAACCATCTGGAATTTCCTTCAAAACAATTCCAGGGTGGGGTAGTGGGTGAGGATGAGGTGAACAAGATAATGTGAGTGGGGAACCGAGGGAGCTGCTGTTTTATTCTCCACTCTTGGGTATGTTGAAAAGTTTTCAAATTAAAAAATGCTTTATAAAAAATTTTAAAAAAAGAATGCTTTACAAAAGATAGTTCCATTTTTGGAAAAAGAGGAAACAGCCTTAGAGGACATGGCAGAGAGGACAGTGGCAATGAGGGTGGGTGGCATGGAGCCAGGTCTGAAGGCCTTGCTGGGTTCTGCCAGGATTGTTCTGGATCTTCCTTCTAAAAGCTAAAAGTCTTCCAACCCTCTAGGTTAGAAATGGGGGTTAAAAGAGCTCCCCCACACAAATGGAGGGTTCCTGCTGCATTTACCAAGAAAAAGAAAAGTTCTACAACCCCACCCACCTCCACCCCCCAAGCATCCAAGATAGAGGTCTCAGGACTAACAAGTTGATCATAAAAGTACCCCTAAGACCCCAGACTAGGGGCACCACTGATTCACAAAAGAGAACATGCCTACTACGTTTATGGCAATTTTAAAAAGCACATTTCACAGGAAAGTTCAGATGCTCTGACTCACCAGGGTGTTTCAAAATGCTTACCATGATCCGAGGTAAATGCAATGATTGTGCTATTGGCCAACTGAAGATCATCCAAAGCACTCAAAAGGTGGCCCACCTGTGTGTCCAAATATGAAACAGAGGCAAAGTAGCTCTGGCGGATTTTCCGCTGCAAATAAAGAAAAAAAAATGAGTGACTGCAATTTAAACTGCCATGGCATACACAGAGATAATGTCTATCTGAGCATCTCTCTCAATCCCAACCCCTTAGTAGATGCCCTTGATGATTTTCCCAGCCAAAACATATAACTCCTTTTCCTACTATCTGCGTCCCCTCACCCGCAGTCACAGCAAAATCTGCAGGTCTGAAAAATTCATTTCTAAGTAAATTAGCTTTCGCTTTAGGGCAGGGATCATGTAGATGGATAGGTTACTTATTGCCCCCTTCCGTCTCCTCCACATAATCTGACGCATCCCAGGAGATGAGCATGTGTATAGACACTGATCCCTCAGCTCCTCCAAACAGAGGACACGCATGCTCTGATGTGGGCCATGCCAAAGATACAGTCCAGCTGTATTAATTTCCTGTGCCTGCTGCAACAAAGTACAAGAAACTGGGAGACTTAAAACAACTGAAATGTATTGTCTCCCAGCTCTGGAGGCTAGAAGTCTGAAATCAAGGCATTGGGAGGGCCACCGTCTCCCTGAAGGCTCTAGGGGAGGATCTTACTCTCCCTAGCTTCTGGTGGTGGCTGCAATCCTTGGCTTGCAATTGCATCATTCTAATCTCTGTCTGCATCTTAACATGGAGTTCCTCCTTTGTGTATCTCTCTCTCCCCTCTTCGTATAAGGACACCATCATATCAGATTAGGACACACCTTACTCCACTATGACCTCAGCTAATTAAATCTGCAATGACCCTATTTTCAAAAAAGGTCACATTCTGAGGTACTGAGGGCTAGGACTTCAATGTATCTTTTTATTGGGGGGAGGGCACAATTTAACCCATCACAACAGCCATGAGTGAGCCTTTGCTCTGACCACTCTTTAACTCAGCAAAAGATAGCAATTGCTTGTCTTCACAGACCAGGGCTGTCACATGGAGCTCATTTCTAAAAAACTCTTAACAGTCAGGACAAATACAAGGGAGGGATGAGAGAGCAGCATACCTGCCCCAGTCCCTGAACCCCAGGGGGAACTTCGGGAATAGCCAGCCTGTGCCCTGAAGTAAAGGATGCATCGGTTCCTCCTGGGCTGACCCACCCCATCCTTGTTCACAAACGTAAGGAAAAAGATTAATGCCCCACCCCCACTGGGGGTGAGACACAAGAGAGCCATGGACTTATCAGACCAGCCCTTGCACTATTAGCTGAACCCACCAGCTGCTTCTTTTCACTGCCAGAGTGAGGACAATCAGGAGACTCACTCGTTTTCCCCTTGTGGTGAAGAGAACAGATATACATGTAACTTTCTAGAAGAATTATGGAGAAGCCTGGCCTACTTAAAGTCTTTGGTCTATAATTTGGGGAACTTTGGTCCTCCTGGGGACCAAGACACCTGTCAGGATGACTGTGTCCTATACAAGGGTACTCCCTTCTTCTATGCTGGTCCCTGGACATAAGGCAACAAGCAGACATGGTCCTCACCCGTAGTGAGCCACTTATCCAGTGAGGACAAAATCACAGAGACAAGAAAGTACACACACTGTTGGCGGGGCCCAGGGATGAGACAGGAGAGTGATCCCTGGGAAGGTCAGGGAAGGCTTCAGGGAGTACTCAGCATTTGAGAAGAGGCGCCTACAGCCTGCCAGGTGAGGCCAGATGCTCTGTGCAGGGGCTGCAGTGCAGGGAACAGAGTGGTCGTATCTAGGGCCAATAAGAGGGCCGATGTGGCTGGAAAATCAAATGGAAGGGCAGAGGGTAAAAGGGGACACTGAAAACCTAGGTCAGGGCCAGATAATATGGACCTGGTGGGCTCATCCAGGGTGCAGAGGTCCCAGGCTGTAGGCCAAAGGGGTCGTTGAGGTCTTTCAAGATGAGGAGTTGATGCAATCTGGGGTGCAGGTTATTAAGAGTCCTGTGGCAGCAGCACAGATACTGATGCCAGGGGCTTTAGACAAGATGGCACTAGACTACTGCTGGGTACATAAGAGGCACTCAGCATACTTGCTGAATGAACAAAACAAAGAAAAACCCACTGCAGTGGTCCAGAAAGATAAGCTGAAGGATCTAGACGATGGTATGGATTTGAGAGGAATTTAGGAATTTAGGGAGATCAAGTGGGCACAGGGAAGGGAGTGATGCAGAGGAGAGGGAGGAGATGAGGAACCCAAGGGTGATCCTGGGTGTCACATTCAGCTGGTAGCACAATTCACAGGCATGTGTGGGCAGGGGGAGGAGAAGAGGCAGGCAGGGGTGATGGCCTGGCCACGCGGAAGCCTATGGAGCCGAGGTTGCCATGGCCATGTGCCTGGGAATGGCTCTCGCAGGCAGGTGGACACATATGTCCGAAAAGCACGGGTGAGGCCCAGGCTGGAGGTGTTGTCCTGGGAGTCATCTGCCAGCAGGCCTCAGATGAGCCCAGCTGGGGAGGAGGGGCCGAAAGGATACTGTGGGGGCCCTGGGACTGAGCCTGGGGAGCAGCACCTAAGTGTTGGACAGAAAGAGGAGTCTGCCATGGAGCCGGAGCAAGGGGCCCAGGAGGCAGATACTTCCAGAAGGGGTGGCACTAGTCACCAGCGAGAACATGGCACAGAGTTCAGGGAAGATCAGGACCCACATGATGAATTTTACTGGCCAAAAAGGTCAGTGCTGACCCAGGTGAGAGAACTCTTGGTGGGCCAGGGAGGTGGAAGCCAGGGTGGAGGTTGAAGAATGAATGGGCAATGAGGCCACAGACACAGCCAGAACAGCCTGTTTTTCACTCACTCTCCCTTGAAGGGCAGGCAAGTGTAGGAAGGGAGGAGAAACAGGCAGGAGCTAGGGAGGCAGGACTTTTGAAGCTGGGAGGGACAGAGCACATACAGAGGCTACAGGGAAGGTGGGCAGGAAGGAAGACCTTACTTGCTCCGCTCGCAGACACTGGAAGGAAGGGAAAGGAAGAGCAGCAGCAGGGAGTCAAGTCCCTGCTGCTCTTCATCAGAGACTGGAGAGAAGGCCTCAAGTCCAGCACACGTGAGGGAGAGTCCAGCTATCAGTGAAGGAGATTACTAATAGCATCCATTCACCAAGTACCTGCTGGGCGCCATCCGATCCTCTGAACCACCCTAACTGTAAGGACTCGAAGGCTCAGAATGGTGAATGAACTTGTGCAGAGTTAACAGCTGACAAGGAGCACAGCCAGGATCTGTACCCACATCCATCCTGCACTGCACATTCCCCTACCTCTGGCTGTGCATTAGCCTCCGTTTCTAAAGCACGAAAGGTGGCCAATTGCTGAGAAACAGGGCAGAGGGGCGGCAGGGGCTGGAGAGGAGTGGTGAAGAGGACACGCAAGAGGAGCCAAGTAGGGAGCTGGCCCGGGGCTGCTGGGATTGGAAGCTGAGGGCCTCCCTGCCTTGTGGCTGTGTGGATTCTCTCCAGCAGTCCTCAGGACTTCAGATGGAGAGTAGAGGGCTGGACTGTCCCATAATCAGGATATTGCAGGCGGGGCAAGGATAAATGGGCAAGTCTGCTGAGGGGCTGGCAAGACAAAGTGACCTGCCACAGGGCCTTGGCTATTTAGGAAAGGAGCGAAGGCAAGACGCCACCTAGACACATGGGGGAGAGTAGGAGTCTACATACCACATGGGTGATCCTCATGACACATGTGGGCAACAAGGGCATAAAATGAGGAAGCTGCAAGGAAGAGGTTGTGGTCAGGGTGGTGACCAAGAAGGAGCAAGCCACAAACTCCCAGTGTGGCTTCTGAGGTCACTGGTTCACGCAGAGCTGAGTCAGAGGTCTGGGGCTGAATAGAGTCCAGAACTGAGGGGCTCGAGAGTGCCCCCAGAGAGTACCTGGACATGGACACCCAAAGTTGCGAGAGGATGGTAAGTAGGGCCTGAGTCCAAGTGAAATGTGGGGCAGGGACCAGCACATGTGCACCAAGGAGGCCCTCTGGGTCACACTGGCTACTGTGTATGAGGAGGGACCTAAGAGAACTTAAAGGAAACCTCCCCACGCAGTTGACACTGTCCTAGAAGCTTCCGCATGCTCTTTAGTTCTCACTGAAAACCTCCAAAGTAGATGTTATCACAGAACACCTTTACCCATCTTGTTTCCATTTTACAGAGAAGGAAACTGAGGCTCAGAGAGGTAAAGTCACTTGACAGAGGTCAAGCAGCTGGTATGGAGTAGAATGTGAACTGAAATCCACATTGTGCTGGGAACCAACAAATCCAACCATGGGGCTTTGGAGTTACATGTCCTGGGAGAGAATGGGCTCCACCTGGCACTGTCTTTGTGTGGTCAGGCAAGTCAGTGCACCCCTCTGCCTTTAGCTGCCTTAGCTGGACAACAGAGAGAGCAAGTACCTCATGAAGTTCTCATTGGGACCAAAGGAGATAGCACACATAAATCAGCATCCTTCCTGACACACAGTCCATCGTAAAGGGTCACTTTAAGTGACCATCACTAATAAGGCATCCAGGTGAGCCTCAGAGCTGCAACTGGAGCCACCTCTCTATTAGAAGCCCACAAACACGAAATCAAGAAACAAACTGATGAATTTCTTGCTTTCCAAATTCTCACCACTTGCCATCGGAAACTGAGGAATCAAATAGATTTGAGGAATGCACACCCCTCACCACCCAAACTCTTGCTGTGCAAACTCAGGAGCCAAATAGGTTTGGATAGCAAGAGATACCTATATGTGTTGACTTGGTTTGGTTTTAAACAATATATTATATGACAATGGTTCTCAAATCTCCAAGTGCATCTGAATCACCTGGTGTGCTTTTTGGGAAATTTTCTAAGTCTGGGTGGGCCAGGACTCTGCATTTCTAACAAGCCCTCCCAGCAGGTAGTCCAGGAAGCACACTGAAAATATTGCCCCCTCCTATCTCCTATTGCCTGCCTGTTGCAGTATTCATGTGGTAAGAGAAGGGCAGGGCTTTGTGTGGAATATTACAGAAAGAGCATTATTAGTCAGCACGTACTCTGTTCTCGCCAGGAGAAAGGGGTTTGATGAGTCAACATGAGGCTTCTAACTCTGTGACTGCTCTAGCCCTGTATTCTATGGAAAAGGGACAGCAGACATCACAGCTGGATGGCACTGGCCATGATGGTGTCCCAGTTCCCTCTGCACCAACGCCCTGCTCACCAAGCCATTCGCTGAGAGTGACAGCTGCCAGTGTAGGTTTTTTCACAGAGGAAATCTACAAGTACCAGCAAACTGAGCATTCTGGGCTGTTCGGGAGTTACCCACCACCCTATAACTGATGAACTGTCAACTCAAATTAAACAGCATTTCCCCATCAGTTAGAGATAATCACCCAGGCCACTTCCCCACCCCTGTGCCCACATGTAGCAAGTCACCAAATCCCTGGATGCCCTCTTCTTTGTTTTCTTTGGAAGCTGAAACACTGGTGGAGAGACTCTTGATCCACTTAGCACTGCCTTTGTCCTAAGCACCTACAGAACACCCCTGCCCCAGCACTTCGCACAATGCCTTGCACAGAGAAGGTTCTTAATAAGACATTATGGACAGAGTACTGCCTACTGAGAAAAGTGGCTTCACCTATGACATCATGGCATCAGTGCCTAATACATCCCCAAAGGATGTCCTTGGTACCTGAAAATCCACAGGAATTGGGCCATAGGGCACACTTATGTTTAAGGCTTGGACATCCTCCCGCTGCCTGATGTCCATCCAGGGGTTGTACGCCACAGGGGGTAGGCCATCAGGGACCTGGGGATCAGCAGCCAGGGTGATGTTCTCCAGGGGATACAATTTCTGGAATTCCTTGGGGAAAAGCACACAAAGCCACAAGGTTGTCACTCCTTTGGCAAAGTCACAAGTCTGTGGCTCTATTGGTATTTATACTGCCTTTCCTACGAGCCTGTGATACACTTATACGGCAGCTTACTAATATCTTCCAGGTACTTACCCCCACCTGGAAGTCAGGCCTTAGGTCACCCTCATGAGATGCCAACAGCAATGAAATCATGCAACTTCTGTTTCCTACAAACTGAGCAGTGACAGATCTCTTGCCTCATACAAACAGATACCCTCCTGTCCCTGTCCCCACCACACTCCCAACGAGAAAAGGTATGGTGAGGTGTTGTGGGTTCCCAAAACCACTCTCAGGTTCAGTAATTCACTAGGAGAACTCATGGATTTAGTGTATAGTCACGCTCACAGCTATGATTTATTATGGTGAAAGGATATCAAACACAATCAGCAAAGGGAAAAGGCACATGAAGCAAAGTCTAGAGGAAACCAGGCACAAGCTTTGAGTCCTCTCCCAGGGAAGTCACACAGGATACACTTACTTCTCCCAGCAACAAGTTGTGTGACAACGCATGTGAAATGCTGCCAGCCAGGGAAGCTCAGTAAAACCTCAGTGTCCAGTTTTTATTTGGGGTTTGGTCATGTAGATACCCTCTGCCTTGAGCACACCAAACTTCCAGGCTCCCAGAAGGAAAACAGGGGTTCAGCATAAACTGTAATGTTTGCCTAAACCGTTTAGGCACAGCAAGCCACTCATCAGTTCTGGGAATGGTCAGGATACTCCCAAAATCAAAGTTCCCAGATGCCAGCCAAGGGCTGACCTTGTACACAGGCCTTTCAAAGGATCACCATCTGGCTGGCTTTGTAAACTCTTTTCTGCAAAGAGGCAGGAGAGGTGAGTCTCACAGGCTTCTATCAAGGGGGATGACAGGTCCTACTAGGAAGGCATGATCCCCTGGGCCAATCAAAGCAAGATACCTGCAGCATCGAAGGCATACCTTCTGGTCTCTACTCTCATTACATGTGAGGGGCATTCTTTAAAAAGTCAAAAGGATGCTCAGGCCTGGGGAAAAGATGATAGGGAAAAACTGAAAAAAAATTATAAAAAGGAAAAGACTACATGCTCTAAATGACATGCAAGCAAGTACAGGATTTGATGTTCCAACAAGCAATGCAGTGCCCTGGGTTTAAGGGGTCTGACCTGACAGGCTCAGAGGGGCAAGGCAGTTGTTGAAGAGGGCTTCATGTTCCCTGGAATTGGTTCCCAAGGACCACCCCTTATTATAGACTTTGGCAGCCTGTTCTGACTCACTTTTCCGTGATGATCTCACCATCCAACCTAATGTTTACTCAATGAGTTCAAGGAAAGGAATAAAACTCTCCAGTAGAGGGAAGTGGAAAGCCAGGTACTTCTTACAAGATTCTTACATGTTCTTGCCCTTGACCTCTGAATCCCATCTCCACTCCACTGAGTACACTAGTGCCCAACAGGCATCCCCGGTGACTGGGGACAGAGGATGTGGCCACCTTTCCTAGACAAATTATTCCCTCAACAAACACAGCTGTTGTGGCTGTGGTAGATCAGCCCTCAGCCAGCTCTTTACCTTGGGGTATCTGAAGGGGATGTGTGGCTTATGATATCCAATGGCCAGGAAGAAAGGACTGGCTGACATTTTCATCTTTTCCAATAATTGTATGGCTTGCTCAGTGCTCTGTTTGTCAGGCAAGGTGCCCTCAGGCACATCCACCAAATCCACAGGGCAAAGCAGGTTGGCATGGAGTTCTCCATCTGGCCCCCGACATGTCTTTCAAAACAAAATACGTAACATCAGCTTTTTAAATGCAAGAAATAAAAGTCATGAAGGTTACACACACATGGATTTTATGTTTCACATCACCAGCCCATTAGGTCTTAGTCATTCAGACTGAACAGGGACATCAGAAGTAAAACTAAAACAGAGAAGTGCTTTTTTTTTTCCCCCCAGGCAGGGGCCACAAATCTAACAGCACTTAGTTTCTTGCTGCTAATTCTCTGTCTCCAAATCGTAGCTAATTAAAGGAAACCCAAGTAAACTAATTATCAAAAAAATCTATCTCCAACTCACCAATAAGAAGATAAATAAGCCAATTAAAAATGGGCAAAGGACTTGGATAGATATTTCTCCAAAATGTCTCCAAAACAAAAGAAGCCAGATATAAATAACATATTATATGTGATTCTATTTATATAAAATGTCCAGAATAGGCAAAAATATAGAGATAGAAATGAGATCAGTGGTTGTCACACGCTGGTTGACAGGAAATGGGGAATTATTAGTAATGGGTACAGAGTTTCTTTTGGGAGTGATAAAAATGGTAGAAAATTGATTTTGGTGATGGTTGCACAACTCTGAATTTACTAAAAACCACTGAATTGTACACTTTAAAAAGGAGAGTTTTATGGTATGTGAATTATATCTCAATAAGAAAATTAGAAAGAAAAAAAAGTCCTGTTTTAAATTTCAAAGACAGACTAAGACTTGCAAGTGACAAGGTCCCAGTCAACTGGAAAAAGCTGATAGTCGATGGAATTTCCAGATCGTCAGCTACGCCATGCACAGAATGAATCCTTCTGCTTCATTTCCCGAAGTGGCCATGCTAGCCGTAAGGTCAAAGTTAATTTTGACCATGACTTGTACATCGCAAAGACCCAGGCACTGTGCCAGCTGCTGCTCCATCTCGAAGAGTGGTGTCCTTTCACAGCCCTGCCTTGCCCACCCTGCCTGGGCAGGACAGCCTAGCACCTGCTTCAGACCACTTGCTCACCCTCTACATATACATGATTTGCAGCACTCAAGGGGGATTTGGTACTGTCAGATCTTCCACTGTGATAAGAAATGGGGGTTACTGAAGGAACAGGGGCCTGGCATTTGTAAGTGAGGCCACTAAAAAGTAGCAAGATGGCTTCAGGGAATTGAAGAATTAAGATGGGGTCTTCCAATCTCATTCTGTTCCTACTTAAGCCACAAGCCAAAGGCCAGAGCCTTGAGTGTTCACTGTATTCTGAAATGGAAAGCTGTTAAAAATTTAGAACAATACCTTCCATCCCACCCCCAAATCCTTACCCTTCTTCCCCACATGAAGTCTCCAAAAACCTCAGAGGTGCATGTCACTTCTCAGTTCTCCAGATGGTTTTCTGAATTTTTTAATTGTGGGTTTTAGTTCCATTTGTACATTGGGGATTCCCCCAAACCAAGATTTTTTTTCTTTGTAGATTTCTTTTTTTTTCTATAATGCTCTAAAAATCTAAAACCCCTGTCAGAGTTCTCAATAGCTGATCATATACATTAGATCTGAGATAGCAGACAGACAGATAGTATGCCTTTCTCCCATTCTGGACTGAGGCTCCTAATGCTCAGACCTCTTTTCTCCCTCTGAAGTCTCAGCATCTTCCACAACCCTCAGTTTAAAGCCTCATCCAGAGTGAGCACCAAGGAGCCATTAAATGAGTCTGATGCATTAGGGCCTAAGGTTCTAAAACAAGGAGTATCCACCAGCTTCTAAAATAAAGCCACTGTTCCCATCAGGCCTAATGCTAAAGATCCCAACACTTGTCTCTGTCAAAACATTATCACAAATGTTTAACCTCACGGCATAACCACCTTGATAGAAAGTGTAGTATACACAATAGTTTGTTTTCTAGAAAAGAAAAGTGGTTTCTCCTCAGAACAGTATCCCTTTCACAGCCTTACCTTAGTGTTTTCATACTTCTCAGAGGAGGGATGATAAGGAGGAAACGACCAGCTATATGGAGAATCATCACTATGATTGGAAGATATACCTTGAGAGGGAAAAAACAGTTGTTAAATAAAACGTGAAGAGTCTTTTGACACCCCATCCTCCCAAATTAAAACTTGTGCAAACAACTGGACAAGTGAAACCTCCCCTCTTTGGGCCTCAGTTTCCTCATCTACAAAATCGGAAGTTTAGGCCAGATGATGAAAAGTCCCCTCCAAAGCCAATTCTCTAGGTTTCTATTTGAGTCCTGAGCATCTGACTTCCTGGTCCCTAACCTCTGGTAATTTGTAATAGGCTCTGTGAAAGGAATCCACAAGGGCAAGATGAGCCAGCCCATTACAACAGCACAGTTTCCTAGAGCCCAAACTGGAGCCTCTTACCAACCCTGTGAAGAAGGGAGCATCGCCCCACCATGGGGCAGGTGGGGAAAGGAAGGCTCAGAGAAGCTCTGTGCCTTTCCCAATGCCAACCAGATTTTAGAAGAGTGAGCCAGGACTCAAACACATGCTTAGGACTCCAAGTTCAAGTGCTCATTTGTGAAACAGAATCCTACACCTAGGTTTGTAGTTTACAGTCTATTTGGGAAGATACAATAACAGCACATGAAACCAAGGAAGCACTGCCAACTGCCAAAAGAGTTGAAGTGCCAAGTGGGGGAGCCCCCAGGCACAGAGGTGATGTGGGTCAGGTGAGAGTTTGCAGGGAGGACTTCTAGGAGTCAGCAAGGCTTGCGAGGGATGAGAAGGGAAGTGCTGCCTATAGAGGTTAACCAGGAGGAGTAGAGAGGGGATCACAGGCAGAACCACGGGAGAAAGAGCATCAGTTATCATGGCCACACAGCGGAGCTCCAACCAGAAGCAACAGAGGAGGCAGGACTGGAGAGGAAGAGGGGACTGGGTGGAGGGCCTACTATTAGCACAGCAAGTGCGGTGGCCAGAGCACACAGAGCACACAAATCCTGACACTGCCTCTTAGCATCTGGGCAACCTCAGGCAAGCTACTTGACTTCCATGCATCCCAATTTCTTCCTCAGGAAATGATGACAACGATACAAACCCAGCTTGCTTGCTGTTGAGAGGATTAAAGGAGTGGCCACCACAGTAAATGGCACGTACGTAACTGGCACTCAAGGTGGCTACTATCATCCTTGAGCAGGCCCAACACTGACAGAAAAGGATCTTGTGAACAAAGATTCATCGGAAAATGTGTTTCCACAAGGACTACAGGCAAAGCTTTTGTTCTCTGGCTAGGACACGGTGCTTAGGGCCTGATCCCCAAATCCAATTGTTAGGAGGAAGGAGGCCAAGCAATATCACTCAGCCCTTGTCTGGCCTCCCTTCCCAAAGCACAATCTCCTCCCTCTGCTATATTTCCTCCTCTCTCCAAAATCATCACTTCCCTCCAGCTGCATTCAGGCAAGGGCTGAGATGATGTGAGTACCAAACTTGCCAAAAGTTCTACTAATGTTGGGCTTTTGGCTGTGCAATATGACCCCTGAGAGATTCACCTTCAAAACTGGGCCTGACTTAGCACAGTTCAATGTTTCCCTCAACCTGGACTGGCCAGCTAGGTTCCTGGAAAAGGCTGCTAAGCCTACCAGTGAAACCAGTGAGCAAAGGGAGAGAGAACGTTCAAGTTGTCACCCTAACGATAAGCACTACCTTACTTATGGAGCTTCTGCTTTCCAATGCACTTTCATATTCATGAACTACCAAGATTGGGACACTGGGAGGTAGTTAAGACAGCTATGACTCTAGCTTCCCAGCTAAGGAATCTAAGGTTCCAAGAGGATGAACAATTTGCCCAAGGTCAACGGCACAGATAAGAAGTGGTATAACTGGGATCAAGTGCCCAGATTCCTGGTGCTACTGCCCATCATAAGTTCACTCTGCTTCCAAAGATGTTCATGCCAGCTATGACGGTGAAGACCTGAAACCATTTGGACTACAGCATGGTACACCTGTATGACAGACTACTATGCTATCATTAAAAATGACTTTTTATGAAGAATAACATTACGGGAAAAAGTTTTTTAAAAAATTCAGGATATAAAATTGCATATATAGGATAATCTCAAATCAGAAAAATAACATGCTCAGAACAGGGGGAACATCAAAACGTAGCTAGCCTCAGAGTGGTAGAATTATAAGTGACTTATATGCTTTCGTTTATACTTTCCTTTTTTCCATTTTTATTAGTCAAATAATCATTCATCACTTCTAGAAATATACAACTATTATGTACCCATAATAATTAAAAATAAATTTTTTTAAAAGAGTTTTAAAGTTTGTACTTCAACATTTCCATTTTGGTATTAAAGAGAGTGAATTTATCAACTAGCATTTAAGGTCAAGACTGGCATTCCCTGGCATCCTACAGGCCCTAGGTACCAGCTTACACTCAGCCTCCTGACCTAATTCACAGAGAGTGGGCAGCAGCCCCAGCCAAACTGCAGCCCCCTCACTGGGCAACGAGTCAGTAGCAGCAGTGCTGTCACATGGCAGGTCCTCAGACATTCTCGCCCCACCCCAACTTTACCCACAGGGACTCTGAAGGGCAGAGAATCAGGCCCAGAGCTGCACTCACACCCAACACTGCCACCTCCCCAGCCAGCGCACTTCCTACCACCCAGAAGCCGAAGGAACCAAATAGCACCACCAATGGTTTCTGAAAGGAACCAAAACTCCTACCCTTTTTCACTTTGGGTGAGAACATGAAGCCAAGTTGAGTTAATAGTTTTTTGTTTGTTTCGTTTTTAAGAAAGGCAGCAGTGAATAGGGAAGTATCTGCCCAGCCAGGAGATGCCTCAGCCAAGGCAGCCCCAAGCTCAGGAGGTGATCCCTGTGTTCCGGCACGAAACAAGGGAACCCAGACAGGGGATATGGAGCAGTACCAGGGTGAAAGACTTTTCCAACCGACATGGTCACGTAGCCATTCTCCTTGAAGTACTGGGGGATGGTGGAGAAGTTTCCAGCGTGCACCCTCCAGTAGGAGCTGAAGTCATACAGGCGGGTGGTATCGGGTCTCCTCCCGGTGAGGAAGGACACGCGGCTCGGGGCGCACACTGCTTGCTGTTAGGAGCAGGAGCAGAAGTCAATGTCCTCACAGCAAAATGTGTCTGCGATCTCCAAGGTAACCAAGCAACCTCCCTCCCAAGGCCCCCAGGAAACAGCTTGATAGCTGAGTCATGCAGATCTCAAAGCCACCCGGCAGGATTTGGGCCTCGCCCAGGCGTCAGACATGAGTCTTCCTGGTGAGAGAAGGGGTAGGAATCGGGCACTCAAACCAGCAGATGCTTGTATGCTCCTGTGTGATGGCGTCCCAGGCACAAGGGGTGGGTGACGTTCCTAGGGTCAGTCCCTCAAGGGGCTCAGGGAGCAGAGCTGCCATGACCAGCTGGCTGACCTTCACTCAAGGCCCAGTTGCCAGACCTGTGGGTGGCATTCTGCAGCCCCTCTTCCTCCTGAGCACCAAGCATTCCCATCTCCTGGGAGAAAGCTGGCCAGGGCCATCCTGAGCACATTAGGGCCAGGGCACACCCTCCACCCACAGAGGAGGGGCACCCCTGAAAATACACACTTTCTTGTGAGTGGACAACTGGATTTTCTTGAGCACCCTTTTCAAGACTATGGTTCCCTCTAACAAAGAGATGTCTGGCACAATCAGTGCCACCTAACAATAGTTGAAGGGCCCCCCCACACACACTGACCTTCAGTGCATGAGGAAGCACATGCCCATACCTAGAGGTCCCCAGACATACCTGGGCAAAGGCATTCTGGAAGAGGAGGCTGCGGGATGCCAGTTGGTCGATGTTTGGGGACCTCACTAGCTTATCTCCGTAACAGCCCAGGGAGGGGCGCAGGTCATCCACGATGATAAGAAGGATGTTCAGAGAATCTACACAAGAGGGAAGGGCTTTGGTGAGGTCGACTGCACTGGCACTGAACCTTCCCTCCCACGGTAGGTGCTAGGTTACAGAGAGGCCCAAAGCTGGACCCTGCACCTTGACAGTCCTGCCAGCAAGGGGCAAGTAGGACTGTGCCTCAGCAAGGGTGGGAGTGGGGTGCGAAGAGGAAGCCTGAGTCCTGGGTGGCAGGGTTAGGCTTTGGCCATGGCCTCGAGCCTCATGGATGAGGGAGGGAGATAGGAAGAGAAGAATGGAGGAAAGGAAAGAAGAATTTAGCGGCAGAGGGAAGGATAGATGGAAGGAAGGATAGTTGGATGGAGGAAAAGAGGGAAGGAAAGAATAGATGAGGGGATGGAAGGATGGAGGAAAGGACGGTGGGAGAGAGAAAGATGGATGGGTGGAAGGGAAAAGTGAAAGATGGACTGATAGATGGAAGGAGGGATGGAAAGATGGTGAGGATAGACCGATGGATGGAAGGAAGGAGAAAGAGAAGCATGGATGACTAGGAGAGAGGATGGAGTGACGAACAGATGGAAGGAGGTAAAGAAACAGGATGGATGGACAGAAGGAGGGAGGGTGGGAAGGAGAGAAAAACTGAGGGAGGGAAGAAAAGATGGATGGATGAAAAACGGAATAGTGGGAGTGGGGAAAGAATGGATGTAAGCAGGGAAGGAGGGAAGAATGGGGGAAAGGTGGGAGAGGTGAAGGGCGCCCCCGCAATCTGGGCGCGGGCAGCACCTGTGGCCGGGTTGGCTTGTGCCGCGTTCTCGAGGGCGACGCAGAGAGAGCCCAGGACCAGGCCGAGCCAGAGCACGCCCCGGCCGGGCGATGGCGGCATTTCTGCCTTGACGCGGCCACTCTGGAGCAGCAGTGACAGGCTGCAGCGGGAGAGCCCGGCAGCAGCCACCGCCGCGGAGGCCACCACGTTGGGAATCTTTGAGGACAGCGAAACACCGCAGCCGCAGGCCCGCAGGCCCACAGGCCCGGGCGCCGCCCGAAGGAGAGTGCGCCTGCGCGCCTCTTTCCCCCGCCCCGCCGTGCGCGAGATCCGGGCACATCGGGAGGGGCTGAGGGAGGAGCGCAAGGCCCCGCCCTCCTTGCTGCATCAAGCTTCGGTGGAGAGCTGCTGCTGCGGATTTTTGCTACTCATCCACTGTCCTTAAATAGCAGTTTCCTGCCTTTTTGCCTTTGTTTGTGCTGTGCCTTTCACCTGGAAGCCCTGTCCTTCCATCATTTCTCTGTGAAAATCACACTTTTCTTTGCTCTCCAGCCCAATGCCATTCTCCTTCAATGAGGCTCTTTGAGAACCCTCTTTCCTCTCTCTAAAAGGACCCCTTTTCCTATTCATTCGTTCAACAAATACTTATTGAGTATTGCAAATATGTATACCAGGCACTGTTGGTGGTGCTGGGGCTCTAAGTCCCTGCCCTGGTGGAGCTTCATAAAACAATAAATAATAAACAGATAACATACGTGGTCTGGAGAAAAATCAAGCAGGGAGGAGGGATGCTTGCTATTTTCGAGGGGGTGGCCAGGCAGAGCCTTACTAGTAATGTCACATTTGAACAAGAACTTGAAGGAGGTGAGGGAATAAGCCACATCGATGTCTGTAAGAAGAGTGCTCCAAGCAGAGGAAGCAACAATTGTGGAAATGGAATCCTAGCCCTACACTGTACTATAATGAATACTATTACCAGGGTCACAATACTGCCAACACACCTTGATTTTCAACTTTGAGAATCGATCTGTAACAAAGCCCAGGCAACTTAATTATGGTTAAAGAACAATGGACAATGGGAAAGTACCAATGCAGCTATGATACACTGCTCAGATCTCCCTTCAGGACCAAAAATTTTATTTCCCTAGCTGGCTTAAGAGCTGTTAGCTGCTGTTAGCTCTCCTCAGAAATTGTCTTAGATAAGGACAGTCACCTCAACCAAGGTCACACCTGTTCTCAGGAAGCCCACATACAATGATTCAACTTGAAGGTATAAAGGTCTAGCCTCTTACCCCAACTTGGGACATCTCTGAAAGGCCATCCCAGCTTCAGAGCTCCCTGTGGTTGGCTGAAGCCTTTCTTGAGACGTTATCACTGTAACTGAACTGAACTGGGTTTGTTTGCCCACGTGCAACAGAAAGCCAAACACTGAAGCACTGGGTTTTTGGTTTTGTTTTTGATTTACTGAGACAGAGTCTTGCTCTGTCACCCCGGCTAAAGTACAGTAGTGTCCGTCATAGCTCACTGCAACCTCAAACTCCTGGGCTCAAGAGATACTCCTGCCTCAGCCTCCCAAGTAGCTGGGACTACAGGCACATGCCATCACACCCAAGTCATTTTTCTATTTTTTATAGAGACAGGGTCTCTCTCTTGTTCAGGCTGGTCTCAAACTCCTGAGCTCAAGTGATCCTCCTGCCTCGGCCTCCAAGAATGCTAGGATTACAGGTGTGAGCCACCTCACCCGGCCTAGCATTGGGTTTTTGCAGCAAGAAAGGTTTGTTGTCTGGCAGCCAAAACAAGGAGACAGGAGTCAGGCTCAAATCTGTCTCCCTGAGCTGGGGGTTGGGGCAGGTGTTATAGTCAGAGGGTAATGAGGCATGATCTGCTTGGATCTAGGCTGATGCCAGGAGACATGCTCTGACTGGACGTCCATGTGAAGACAGAGGATTGAAGTGATGCATCTACATACTTTCACCTTTGCTATATTCTATTCTATTGTTTATAAGCAAGTACAGTCATCCCTTGGTGTCTGTGGGGGATTGGTTCCAGGATCCCCTGGGGATGCCAAAATCCATGGGTGTTCAAGTCCCTGATATAAAATGGTGTAGTATTTGCATAGAACATAGACACATCCTCCTATATACTTTAAATCATCCCTGGATTACTTATAATACTAATTCAGTGTAAATGCTATGTAAATAGTAGTTATACTATATTGTTTAGGGAATAATGACAAGACAAAGTCTGCACATGTTCAATATAGAGGCAACCATTCATTTTTTTTTCAAATATTTTTGATCTGAGTTTGATTGAATTCACAGGTGCAGAACCCACAGGTATAGAGGGCCAATTGTAGTACAATCTACCCATCCTCAAGGGAGCGGACCATTCAAGGACATGTACACTAAGGGGACAGGAAATCTGGGGGCCATCTAGAATTGCACCTGCCACAGATGGGCCCTGTCTTGAGACTCAATTCCACCAGATAACAGAAAACTTAATCTAGTCAATTCCACCTTTCCCAGTTACTTCAGTGTTTTCTGACTAATTACTGATTATTGTTATTAAGTAGTTCAGGATTTTCTCATTTGCCCCAGGCTATCACCTGCATTCTGTGAGGCTCTTAAATTTTGTCACTGTATCTAGAGAGAGAGAACATCTTGTTCTTTTCATTGGCTACCCATCCATGCCAGCATCCACTCTGATGTACAATCCCATCCAGCCCTCAGAGATGGCATCCCCTCATGCTAGCTTCCAATGAGATGTCCTCATTCTAACCTGGTTCCTAGCTGCACGGTTCATGCCACTTTCCACTGTGGCATCCTTTGGCACATTGCCTCTCCCCTCTCTCCTCTCCCTTTGTAGGGGCACAGGAAAATTTGGCTGCTTTCCCATGCCGCTTTAGTGTCATAGGAAGCTCAGGGTGCTACTCCAGACACTTCTATAGATAAGCTCTGCTAATCTGGTGTGAGGGGAGCTCTTGGACTCTGTGCACTTTCCAGGGTATCATCCAGCAAGGGAACACAAGTTCCCTGGCCCCTGGGCTTCTACTGCACCCCTCACCTTTGACCCTAACTCCACAGGGATGGGACAAAACACCGGGGAAAATTGGTAAATATTCCCCGATACCCTGCCACAGCAGTAGGATGAGGCTTCAGGGGAGAGTTCAAGACTTGTATCTCATTCCAGATCCCAGGACCCCTGGATGGGCACTCCTCCTTAAGGGCAGGCTCTGCTCCTTCCATTTACTGCCATAGCCCCAGGGCTAGCAATGTTTTCTGGGTTTCTAGAGCTCAGTGGGATGAGAAGTGTGACCAGAATTACCTGGATGAGAAAGGAGCGTGTCCCAGGCTGTACATAGCCTGATACCAGTGAGGGCTCTCTCGCCCTGCACGGACTGCCAGGAAGGGCCCTGGACTCTGTTGACATGTAAAACCATATCTGAGGAGCCTAATGTGGGCTGCTACTGCCACCAAATATGCTGAGCACCAAGGGCGCTGTTCCCAGAAGTGGCTGTCTCAAGATAGGAGAGGCAGTGAGCTGGGACTTTGTTTTCAAGCTGTCTGGAGAGTGTAAATGGACAGAACTAGGACCAGGCTGCCCTGAAGATTGCAGAACAGCAGTAGCAGCCCCGTGCTCCCTGGGGCTGGAGACAAGTGACATTGCGTTTCAAAAAAATATTGGCCATAAGATGATAGCTTCAATTGAAAGTACATTGCAGGTCTGTGATTTTCTTGGAAACACTTTTAACTTCATAGCACTTGCAAGAACAGGAAACAGGGGGCTGAGGTGTTGCTTCACAGCAGCAATAATTCCAGATGCTCAATAGCTTCTTCTGTAGCCACAGAGTACCATCCTAATTTCCTGTTGCTACTGTAACAATAGTAGTGACTTGAAATAATCTTACAGTTCTAGAGAACAGAAATTCTAAAGTCAAGGTGTTTACAAGGCTACATTCCCTGATACCCTGCCACAACAGTAGGATGAGAATCACTTCACAACCAGAATCTGATTCTGTTTTATTTCCCAGGAAACAGGAGCAAAGCCCCATGGAACATAACAGGGCAGCTGAAGGGCCAGGCATCATGGCAGCCTTGACATTTGCTGAGCTCCTATCCTGGGTCACACACTGCGCCAAGTACTTTATAAGATGAGATGATTCTCTCATTATGGGAGATGTTAGCCACAGCCCATTTGCCTCTGGACATCTGGCATCATCCTCTGAACAGTCCCTCCTCCCTTCCCTCTTCTTCCCTCCAGTTCTCTCCCCTACCTCTTCCCTCTTCCCTCTTCCCTCTCCTCTCCTTCCTTCTTCCCTTTCGTTTTCTTTTCAAGCCCAGACTTTTCCATCATGCCATGCATTAGTCAGCACAGCTCTGGGTGGACAGATAGGCAGGGCTTAGAGCAGACAACCCTCGCGCTGTCGGCCAGAAAGTACAGGAGTTCTAGAAGCCTCCACCAGGGGTCGCTCAAGCTCTGATGTTTGCTAGCACCGCTTTAAAGGTGATTCATTTCCTTTAAAAAAAAAAAAGTCTTATTTTGTAAAGTGTAAGCTTAAAACAAAATAAGAAAAACAAGAATATCTAATCAGATCTTTGGAAGTATTGAACTGTCACTGCGTGAGGTACGACTGGCTGTTTTCCCATTTGCATTGTAGTCATCTGAATGAAGGGATATATTTGATCAGCCCCTTTTCTCCTGGTTTGCTCTGTTCCTCTTTGATCTAGAAAGGATTTCTGCTTATTCCCCCAGATATCTGTACAAAGAGCTGCAGGGAAAGGAAACAGCAATGGCTGTTTGGGAAGAAAGGAGCAGTCTCACAGTTAAGGGCTTCCCCACATGGGCTTGGGTGAAGGGTGGGGCTTCTGGTCCCTCAAGCCCACCAGTCACATACCTGGGCCCTGTGCCATGGCCCAGCAGGCCAGGCATTGCACACCTGCAATCTTAGACTCTGACAGCAGATGTGTCTTGCCAAGCGGAGCCCACAGCTGGAATGCAGGGCATTGCCCACTTCCTCTAGCTGGTGAAGCAGGAGTGTCACTTGCGAAGTAAAAGCCGGAGGACAAGATGGACTCGAAAACACAGCAAGGACTTTGCTCCTCTTGTGGCATTCCTTCAAGGCCCCCATCATAGTGTGCTACGAGACACATCTCAGGCATGAATGGATGGAACAGCTAAAGACAGCCAGAAATATGACACCTTCAAGGGAAAAACCAGAAGTGCAGGAGGAAGTGTCTTTGAAAACACAACCAAATTACCATG